GTTGGGGATCGGTACGGTTGTTGAAAACTGGGTCGCTTCGGTGAGTAACAGGGGTCTTTTTACTTGATTTGTTCTTGTCCTTTTCGGAGTGTCTTCCTGCGTGCCAACTGTGCCACTAGGTTTTCTCCGTGTGGTTAGCGTCTGCCCTTTGTGTTTGTTATTATTATTATTATTATTTCTCAATCGTCTGTTCTCTTTTTCACTTTTACTTTTAGGAGTAGACGATGATGTCCGAGAAATACCAGCAGTTGATGAAGCTCATCGTCGTTGGCGATAGTGGCACAGGGAAATCTTCTTTACTGCATAGGTTTGTGGAGGATACTTTTTCGGAAGACCAGGCGCAGACTATTGGTGTCGAGTTTGGTTCTAAAATTGTTCAGCTTGCGGGACGCAAAGTCAAATTGCAAATATGGGATACTGCTGGGCAGGAAAGATACAAGTCGGTTACTCGGAGTTACTATAGGGGCGCTGTAGGATGCCTTATTGTGTACGATATTTCACAACGCTCATCATATGAGAGCGTGCCTCAGTGGCTAAATGATGTTAGGCAACTAGCTGGAAGGGAAGTTGTAGTGATGCTAATAGGCAATAAAAGTGATCTTTCTGAGAATCGTGTAGTTCAACACAACGAGGCCTCTTTATATGCTCTGGAAAACGGCCTTCTTCACTTTGAGACTTCTGCTGCCTCTGGAGAATTTGTGAGCGAGGCTTTTTTGAAAGTGGCAAAAACTGCTTTGAACATAAGTGCCAGTGACGTTGAGGTGACTGAAAATAGCACAGTGGAACTGTCTTCAGAGCTAAATCAAAGAGGGCGTTATTCATGTTCTTGCTGAGTGAATTCTTTTTTTTTCTTGCTGCCTCTCTTTCCATCTTCAGCTTTAGGATGTTTAAAAGTAGCGTCGTTTTTGTTTTGTTGGGTTGCGTCTATTTTCCGTGGCTTGTCGCTTTTCTTCTTTGCTCATAAGCTTCTTACTCTCCTTTTGACTTCTCTCAAAATTTGTTTTATTGATAGCATGACTTTCAAAGATGAGAAGAAGGTCTTTGAAGCCCACATACAAACGCTCAAAAGGAAAGGCTAATTGGACGGTTGAAAACTTCGCCGAGAGAGTTTTTATTTCATGTCCTCGGGTTTTTAGTTTTTCTCATCGCGTGCTCACTAGTCTGCGCCATCCATACCTCGCTGTTGTAGTGGATTTAGTAGACTCGGATTATTATAGGAAAAAGAGTAGAGTTGAGGAGTTACTGGGTGCTTTGTTACAATCACGTGATGAGGAGCCCAAGTGGGCTCGTGTCGCCTCTATGTTTGATTCCAAGTTGACTGCTGAAGAGATTGATCTACTTCGCCGGAAGGTCTCACTGAACACTGGGATCAGGGTGTGTATTGAGACAATATGGGCAGCACTTGGAGGTGTGTCTTATGGTGTTATTAAGGAAGAAGAATACAAGGGATTTCACTACAAACTGTACTCTTATCTTTTGAAGATAGACAATGTTAGTGTCGTAACATCTACTTCCGCAGCTATTGCAGAGGATTTTATGTATGATAAGAAGAACGATTACGGAGTGACTTTTGGGCCATTTGCAATTTCTATGCTTGAGCTGACAGACAACTGGACGAAGACGAGGGATCCGGATGAGTACGTTTTATTTTTGAGGGGTATAATTGATAGGTGTCTTACCAAAAGACCCTGCATACCTACAAAACAGGATGATATCCCTCTGTATAAATATCCGGTTTATTTTTCTGGTGGGCTTGTGTGCCGGATTGAAGAAGGTGATCATGTGCGCTATGTGAAGACGAAGGTGCAGTAGTTTCTCTTTGTGATTTCAATGTACGAACTGTTGTACATAGTTTCCTGCTCATGTTGGCGCAGCTAATCTTTGAACTGTGCTTTATTTATATTGCAATATGTTTTTTTGTCTCTTCAATTTTCATTTCTTTTTGAAAGTGTAGCATATTTCTGTTTCTTTTTTTTTTTCGTGGGGGGGCGTGACGTTCAGTTTGGTGCGATGATTTCGGATGTGAAGGATCCTTTAGAGGGAAAGGGACGCATCTCAAGTTGTCTTCAGAAGGTGTTCCGGAGTAAGTATCCGAAGCACGGCGAGTGCCCTGTTTTTATGACTCTGGCGTTGGTGGCCATAACGTTTATACCTATTGGCGTTGTTGTTATCAAAGCAAGCGATGCCATTTTTGAGTTGAAAATTCGATACGACGATACAAACAATTACCACTATGTTGTTGGACCTGCTGAAGTGTACCCGCATCAGTTCACGTTTAACAATTCCAATTATTCAACCGGAGCAAGGGTTCGAAAGGTATTTTCACTATCAAAGAGTTTGGCCCATCCTGTTTTTCTGCAGTATAGACTTGTTGGATTCTATCAAAATCACCGTCGATATTCTTTTTCGAGAGATATTGGTCAAATGGTGAGTGGTGGGGATTCTGTTGCGACAGAATGTGAACCGTTTAGGTATCCTGGCGAATTTCAAGGACGGAGTGTTGAGGGCCAATATTTCCCATGTGGGGCGATTGCATGGAGTTTCTTCAATGATTCTTTTTCTTTATACCAAATACCGTCGACATCGGCAACTGACAGTGTTGAAGAAACACTTGATGGTGCCAAACTCATTTGCTCTGGAGCAGCATTTGATCACCTCGGTAACAACTTGGAGGAAGGTAACCTTTGTGAGAAAAAAGGAATAGCGTTGCCGAGTGATGTGCGTTTATTTCAACCTCCATCAAACATAGAATCTCAAAGATCTCTGTGGAAGTGGGGAGGAGATCCTGAGGCTACTGACCCTTATAAAAGGTCAGGATACTATTATGAAGAGGCTGGTCATCCGATTCCCACCACTGCAGATGAAGATTTTCTTGTCTGGGCCTCTTTATCTTACAAGCCTGACTTCACAAAAATGTATCGGATTATAACAACAGACTTGATACCAGGAGAATATGTTGTTGATATTGTGGAAAACTTTGACGTGAGCTCTTTTTCCGGTGAAAAGTATGTTGTTCTGGTGACACGCAATTGGATAGGAGGAAAAAACTACGCCTTGGGTATATTGTTCCTCGCTATTGGTTCCATCTCTTTTGTACTTGCTATGAGTGTTGTCATTGTTCAGTACATTTTTTGGAGAAGCTCTGGGCTATAGTTACAGGATAATACGATGCTGCTATGATCTTTTTGTTATGTCTTGTATTGCTGGAGGATACTGTTGAGTCCCTTCCAAAAATATATATATATATAGTCACAGTTGCGCGCTCCCAGTTCTTTAGATGTTCTGTTTTTTTTGTTTCTTGGTACACATTTGAAAAGAAAATGCTGAAAAGTGTCTTGTCAGATTGAGGTAGCTCCGTTGCCACAAAATTTCTATGAACAAGGCACGAACTCAATACACAATTGTAGCGTCCAGGTATCTTGCGGTATTCCGTGGTATTTAACGGTGTTGCAAAGGAATGAAGCAAAAGGAAAAAAAAATAGCGACAACGTTTGTGAATATTGTTCGCTTTTTTCCTTTCTTTGCTGCCTTTTTTAGTTTCTTACCCAAGAAAAAAAAAGGACAAAAAACACGGTAAAAAAGAAGCCAGAAGGTTCAGATGTCGTGGCAGGCGTATGTCGATGACAGCCTTATTGGCAGTGGGTACATGCACAGTGCAACAATCGTTGGTCTTCGCGATGGAAGTGTTTGGGCCTATGGAGGGACATACATCCCACAGCAAAAAGAGATTGCACACATATTGAAGTGTCTTGAGAATTTATCGCTCGTTCAGTCTTCTGGCATAACTATCTGCAACGTGAAGTTCTTTGGGCTACAATCTGGTGTGGATGGACAAATGAAGTACATCTTTTTTAAGAAGGGTGCTGCGGGTGGATGCATATATACCTCAAAACAGGCGGCTATTATTTCTGTGTACGGGAATCCAGCTGATGCTTCGTCCTTGCAGCAAGATCTTGCAAAGGCTGGAACGGCAGATGTCGCTGTGAATCCGGCAGATTGCAACTCTACAGTGAAGAGGATTGCTGAATATCTCATTAGTCTTGAGTATTAGAATGTGCTATATGGGGGGAGTTTTTTTTTTAAATATATAAGATTAGCGGAAGTTAGCTTTCTTGTTCAAATGAAAGGGATGATATATGTTTATGTATATGCTTCTTTATTATCTGTCTTGTCTTACCCCTGCTTGTTTTGCTCGTCATGTGCCATTGATCCTTTCCTTTCCCTTTTTTTTTCTTCGCGGCTAATCCTTTGTGGGTAGCGTATGCATTTCTGTCAGCATAGCTTGATATGTCTGTGTGGCCGTGCTGTATGTCCTGTATGTGCTAGGTTCTGTGTAGCTTGCAACCAATTGATGTGCGGCTGCTGCATTCTTCCCGGAATGATGCACTGCAAAAGGTGTTGCACTGCGTGCTTTCGTAATACTCGACTTCGTCTATAATGATAATGATGATGATGATGTGGTATCTGGGCGTGCTGCACATCCACTACTTACCGTGTGTAAATCCTTTGTCGTGCAACCTTGCTGAGTTGCATTGATGCGTTTCTTAAAGATTTGCAGTCCCCCATTTTGTATTGCGGTTGATGTTTTTTTTTGTCTACATCTCGTGGTCCACACTCTTGCTGATTTCGCCAATAATGTCCTCTGTTGTTCCTGTTTAATTGTATGATCTTTTCTTTTTTTTTCGTTGTTGACATCTAGAAGATGTTATCGAGGAGCGTCACCCGATGCTTGCTCCCACATGTTAGATGCACCTCTTACGTTTCCCATTTGGGGTGGTCCTCACCCATTAGTGTGGCTCCATTAGCCTTGCTGCCTGTTAAGAGAATGCCCACATTATTGATTGATATGCCAAAGGTAGAAGAATTGACATGTGGTACAGGGCAACCCGCACAACGCGGTCGCAAGAAACCATTGGTGTGGAAGCGAAGACATCCATGGTTTGACAGACAGTGGTCTCTTGACCTTAAGCGTGCAAAGAAAGGCCCTTCAACGCCTCAGTTCCCTGATGGTGTGTCCTTTACTCAAATCAGATCTTTTCAATCCTTCGCAGGAAGATCATGGAAAATCAATGCCGGACGTAGGAGAAAGATTCGTCTTTCGTTAAAACGAGGTCGTCGGAAATTGTTATAGTTTATTTTTGCTGTTCCTAGTAGTACTTTTGTGTTTGCTGCTCGTGGTGCGAGCATGTTTGTTAAAGGCTATATTTTGGTCTGTACTATTGTGAAGAGCCTAAATGGGTTGTAGTACTCTCATTTTCCTTTTTTCTTCTTTGTTCTTGTTTATTATGTGTATGATTATTTTATTTGAGCAAGAAAGTCATGAAGTGTTTGATTTGTCTTCCACTTGTTGTGCTTTTAGTTTCACATGCCGCGGTTGGACAGAAATGTTCATTTATGACGCAACGCGTGCAGTGTGGAGCTCTCGCATGTAACGCGGAAAGTGGTCTTTGCGCTCCCTGCAATACAACAAGTGATTGTTATCCCGGTGCAATGGAGTGTAATGCGGGGAAGTGTGTCGTGGGGTCTTTTGCAAGCAGATTTTCTTTCCTTTTGGCTCTGGCGATGCTATGTGCCTTCTGCGTTTGCTCCATTGCTGTATTGGCTGGTGTTGGAGGTGGTGGTATTCTTGTGCCGATGTTCTGCGCACTTATGGGTCTGCCGATGAGTGCCGCGGTTGGTTTGTCCCAATCCACGATCTGTGGACAGAGTCTCCTTAATGTGTGTCTTGCCGTTTGGAAGCGCTATCCAGATCCCGCGTGCTCACGCCCTCTAATCAATTACCAGTATCTGACCTTACTTGTACCACTCGGAGTGATTGGCACTCTTGTTGGGGGTGTGCTGGCCAAATTGTGCCCAGACCTTGTGCGTTTGGTTCTTTTATTTTTACTTCTGGTACTTGTTTTGTATCGCACTGTCAAAAAAATGATTGCACAATACCGTAAAGACCATAACACTGCTGAAGGGAGTGGCTCAACCTCAGTTCCTGCGGAAGAAAGAGGACAGTTTGAAGTAGGGACGGAGACTGTTTCCCCAGAATTTACACAACCCCAGTTCCCACCGTTGGAGATCATATGTGTTTTGACGTCGTTCATTGTTAATGTGGGTTTTAACACGTGGAGGTCGAAGACAATTTGTGGAGGTGCAGTATATATAGCTTGTCTCTGTGTACCAGTGGTTGTAAATATTGCTCTCTTCTTGTGGAGCCGTCTGCGATTGTCACGGATGGATCAACACTTGGTGACATTTACGTGGAATTACAGCATCACCATTTTGTACCCGCTGGTTGCATTGATTGCGGGAGGAGCAGCTGCTATGCTCGGAATTGGGGGAGGATTGGTATTAAACTTTGTGCTATATGAAGCCGGGTTTATACCTGAGGAGGCCTCTCTTACTGGGGGAGTGGTGACGTTTTTTTTGGCGTTTTCGTCTGCTCTTGATCTTCTGATGGGGGGTCAGCTTCTTATTGACTATGGTTTGGTGCTGTTTGCATGCGGAATGGCGAGTACGGCACTTGGCCAATTTTGTTTTATGAGGCTAATCAAGAAGTACAATCTACGATACCTTATTATTGCGTCACTGGCTACAATTATCGGTGGCTCTCTCATTGCACTTTCGAGCTATAGCATTTACCAATCAGTTATAGTTGTTCGCGCTGATGGTTCAATTATGGCACCTGGTCGTGTTTGCCCGTTGAAGACAAACACATAGCTTTACATTGACCCATCGATGTTGAAGAAGTCAGCAAGTGTGAACCATATGCTTCCTCAATCTGGCAGTGGCCATTCTGTGCCTTGTGGCGAGAAGAACAGAAGCAAATCTATACATATATATATATATATATA